TTGGAATCCCAAAGCCTCTTCAGACTTCAATGGGATTTTCTTCCATTCAGAGGAAATCAAGTCTTTGTCCTGGTCCCATAGCAGCAACAATCACGTTAAATCCAAGTCTGACAGAACAAGCTCATTATCATTCCTGCCATGTCTGTGTGCCGCCTGGCAACTCCTTTCCTTACTATATCGACAGCAACTGAGCTCCACAGGGGTGTCAAAATTAGGGAGAAAGATGGAATGCAAACTGACAAAACTTCATGCAAACTTGTTATGTGCTTCTTGCCACAACTTAACTGTCATTCATGGAAACTTTCTTCCTTGAACATACCAAAATGATGCCAAATTAAATGGTGCCACCATTATTTTTCCCTCTTCCTGTTCCAATAGCAATGTACAAACTTTGGGATGATTCCAAAGGCTCCTGGACAAGATGTACTGGCAGTTTTTTTTTAAGGAACACTTTGGAGAAAACGTAATGGAATGTTTCCAACGATGTTCTGCTCATGCAAAAGACTTTTGCTTGTACAGGGAGACTCTCTCCCTCCTGCACTCTGATGTCCCATTGCAGATGTAGAACTCTGTGCAGTGCAGAACTCAGTGATTCCCCCAATATTATACATTTGCTGGACTTCTCATAGGCCAAAGTCTTCTGAGTGGCTTATAGCATCAAATCAAATACAAAACAAGTCAATAAAACAATCTTGACAGAAATGTCATAAAAAACACAGCACAAAACATTGTCATAACAGCAGAAAAAGAGACCAGTATGAAATGCTGTTGCTCAACTATCAAAACACCAACAATAATGTGAGGGACAGTTCATGGCAAACATAAATCATGGTTTATATGGACTGAGCAGTGGCATGCTTGAAAGCGATTTGGGCTCATGATGAACAATTCAATCAATTTGCCACTGACATGGTGCAACCTGAGCATCAAAAGCGCTGCTGCCGTGCACAACTGCTTATGCAGTGTGTTTTGAGAAGGAGCCCATTTTAATGATCACCTTCTGGACTTATTTCATCTTTTTCATCATCTACTGCATAAATTGAATGGACTGGGTGTGGTGATCTGGCCCTTAAGGCAGGTATGTGGCAAAACAGCATTCCAGATATTTTGATCGCTCAAGTGACTTGGGCCTGTGGGTGGTTCAACCCCCCCCCCATGAACCAACCTTGACCCAGTGTTCATCATCCGAGAAGAGGCGCCCACTTGCAACGGCTGACGTCCCGACTTCACATGCGAGACATAAGGACATGAGGAGCCAGGGGTGGAACCAAACATGGGGAACATACAGCTCAAAGGCTGTTGACGCCTCCTTTGCCTCCTCTTGTGCTGCCACCAGTGAAAGGCTGCGCCAGCACTCCTTCCCCTCCATGGCAGAAAGAGGAGGAGGAGCCAGCCAATGGAGGGATGCCACACTCAGCTCTGCTCTTTGGCTCTGTGGTTTTAGGACATTGGGGGAGCAGCCCCTACCCCCAAAATATAGGGGCCACCAAAAGAGCTCAACCCCCAGGAGCTGGCGTCCCTGCATCTGAGACTCTACTCTGTGTATTTCCACAGAGGGAGGTACAGAGGGTGGTGACATGAGACCTGACCTTCTCAGTGGTGGCTCCCCATTTGTGGAATGGTCCACGCAGGGAGGCACTTCTGGCGCCATCACTATCTGTTTTTAGACAACTGGCAAAAAACCCCATTTTTATTCACCCACCCTTAATTTTCTGCTTGTTTTTTAGTGTGACGGGGTTGAGCTGTATCTGCTCTTTTATATAAAATATTGGTGGGCATTTGTACGCTTGTTCTATAAGCTGCTTAGAACAAAAAGCACCTAAACAATGACAATGTGCATATTCACTATGCGAAAGGAAAAAATAAACCTCATATACAAAGTCTAAAAGCAACACCCAAATCACTGACTGGGCTAAGCAGCCACACTGCTAATTCCAAGTCTCAACAGAGTTGAAGATTGTCTCGTTTTTCTGTCTGGGTGAGTGTAGTCAAGTGTGCAAGGCTGCTGTGATTCTGCCGTCTCCAGAACCAGCCGATCCTCCCTGGGGGGTCCTCTGGTGCCAACCTGTCTTTGACCAGAAGTCAACCCCGAAGTGGGAGGAACAGGGCAGAACTAGCAAACAACAGCTGTAGCAATGCAAGCTGTGTGCGTGTGTATGAACAGCAAAGAATCCAGTGCTCCGAAGTGGAGGGAAATTTCCTTTCAGCATAAAGAAAAATCTGATGAAGAAATTTCCCCCTTAAAAATAATTATAATAGAAGGACATTTATCAGGAAAAGGGTGAACTGGTACCTGCCTACTTTCAAAGGAGCTTTTTTTTATTATACATTCATATGTTACAAAATTTCCATACTTCTTTTCAGTTGCAGAAAAGAATACCAAAGTGTCGTTCTTTGTCTTCCTCCATGAACAGTCGCTTCAAAGCATAGTAAAAGCTACCATCCTCTAGTCCAGGAATGGGAAAACTTTGGCCCTTCAGATGGCGTTGAACCCCAACTCCCATCAGCCCCAGTCAGCTGATGCCAAAGGTCAAGGGTCAAGGGAGTTGTAGTCCAACAAAATCTGGAAGGCCGCAAATTCCCCATTTCCAGATCTAGTCACAATGAATGCCTTGCTTGGATAGTATTTACCTTACATTGGACTTGTGCTAGCAAACCAGGGGCAAGTGTGTTGGTGAATTTGCTGTTTATCTGCGATGAGTCTTGCACTGGCCATTTCGTGGTTTTGAATGCAGAAAACTTGTTCCAATGGCCTTAATATAACTGTGCATGGCTTTTGCTTCAGAAAGGAACGTTCTTATGCCACGTGGAGGGGAAATAATCAAACACAGAAGGTCTGCAACCACGGAGGCTGCAATTCTATGCACATTTCCCATTAAATACAGAGGCGGTGGCTGCCCATTGGCAATGACAGGATGGAAGGAAGGGTGGAACTACAGTGCAGAGCTGGAATTAGGCCAGTGTGGGCGATTCCCCCACGGAGAGCACTGAGCTAAGGGGACGCAAAATTGAGAAGGTCTATAACTGAGATCAATTTGAGAGCGCCAGATTTTGGCCTTGCACAGGGTGCTCTATTACAAAAGATGACCAAAGTCTGGTCCTGGTTGGTGGAGCCTGAGCCAATGACAGACAGAGCCACCACTGACTTATTATAAGAAAGAAGGCAGGTGAGCAGGGGCTGGCTGAGGTATGAGGGGCAGTGCTCCTCCTCAGCGGTGGAGCTGGCCGCTCAGGCACATGGAGCAGCCACATGCAATGCACCCAGGGTGTGTGAGATCGGTGCAGCGTCGATCCACCTGGGGTGCGCGCGATCAGTGCAGCCTCAATCCACCCAGGGGGTGCGCGATTGGAGCGGTGTCAATCCGCCCGGGAGATGAGCAATCGGCATGGCCTCAATCTACCAGGGGGGTGCTCAATTGGTGCAGCGTAGATCCGCCAGGTGTGTGTACGATCGACGCAGCATCAACCTGCCCGGGGGTGTGTGCACAATCGGCGTGGATCTGCCTGGGGTGCGGCATCGATCCGCCCAGGGGGGATTTTGTCACCCCTCCCTCAGGGATGACACCCAGGGTGGGCCGCACCCACCACGCTCCACCTCTGCTCCTCCTTTCACCCTAATGGACCCTAATGCACCCCCTGTCAGTGACAAACTCTGAAGTTGCACCTCCTAAGAAGGAAGCTGCCTGATTGTTAGGAGCCGGAGTCAGGAACAGGTCAGAAATAAAACATCCGGGGTTAGTGTAGTTAACTCTTTATTAAAAGGAACCGAAACAGTGCAGGCCTAGTGATCACAGCAACTCTTCCCAGTAGGTCTTACCCCAATGCAGCAGTGGCAAGGACTAAAGGTCCTCAGCTTCCCACCTGCAGCAGTCTAAAGCTCCATCCTCTTGCCTCTGTTGCTCTTCATTAATTTCTCTGTGTGTCTGGGACACCAGGAAAAAGGGTAGTTGGTTGCAGCAGCAGGTGGACTCTGTCTCCTGGCCCCCCTCCTTTCCTGCCTCCGAGTCTGGACTGCCCTCTGCCACAGTCTCTTCCCGCTCACTAAACCCTGTTGCCTCTTCAGCTTCCCACACTTCCTCCCCCAACTTTGCTTCCTCTGAACACTCACTGTAGCCCCACCACCAGCCCCCTGGCTCTGAGCCTTCTTCCTCTGGGGGTTCCCTTGGGGGGTTCCCCAGTTGGCACCTCCCACCACTCCTCTGCACCTAGCCAGACCATGACATTGATGATACTCAAACTGCTCCATCTAACTCAGTATTGTCTCTACACCAACGGCTCCCCAACGTTTCCCTCCACGGACCACTAGAAAATTGCTGTGGGTCTTGGCTGACCGCTTAATGATATTTCTGCTTGCCGTAGCAATGGTAATGCACTGTGCTAGATGTTGTAGGCTTTTTAATGGAACTCTATGGGATTCAAGTCCTAACGCGATAAAATGCCATCAGAGAAATAAAGAAAGCAATAAAAAGACAATTAAAAACAATATGCATATTTCTAACGTGGGCATCCACGGAGCTGAAACTCCTAGGTCCCTCGACTGCAATCCAGGAACCTAAGCTTCACAGACCCTCCAAGTTTCCTTATTTTCCAGGGACAACAAGGGATTTACAGAAGCCGTCCTGGTTTCTGATTTGATCCTGAAATGTCCCGCTTTTCCTTAGGACGTCTCTATTTTCATCAGAGAATTATTGGAGGGTATGTGACCAGGGCTCTACAGAGTTTCAGGGTGGGAGTCCTTCCAAGGCCTGCTTGGAGACTGAACCCGGCGACGTTTCGCACGCGCAGCTGCTTCGCCAGCGCTCAGCGTTGGACTCGCCTTTTTGCGCCAACGGGGGAAGTCCTTGGCGCGATCCAAAAGCACACGCCTCGCTGGCTCCCTCGTGGTGCCTGGCAAAACTTCTCCCGCCAGTTCGCTCTCCCTCCCCCGCCCCAATGTTTCCTCTTTTCCTTTTGCAGGGGCTCCCTCTGCAGCTCTTGTTGGCGCGTCCCCCCCCCCAGCCATGTGCTCGTGCCGCCTCCGCCGCTCCTACTACCCAGCCAAGCGCGCATCCGCTGCAAAACTCCACCTAACAACACTGCATTGCAATCTCCTCCTCCAGGCGAGGAAGGGAGCCAGTAAGTAGCCAGCCCCCACCCGCGCCCCCACCCCACCCGGAGCTCAACCCCCGCCCCCTTTCCCTACCACGTATAGCCGATCCCCCCTCTCTCCCCCACCCCTCCCTCGGAGCACACACACCCCTCTTCCAAGGCAAGGTGCCCCCACTGAAGTTTGAGATCAGCTGTTCGAGGAGAGTCTGCGCTTCCTTCTCCGTCTAGCTTGCGCCTCCTGCCGCCGCTGCCGCCGCCGCTTGCTGTTGCTGCATTCAGATGGGATGATCTCCCCCACCCTCCCACCAGCCATGCGGCTGCAGCTCCCACCAGCCAGCAGTGGGTGACTTTTTTCCCCTCCTCTCTCCATCGTCTGCTCTCTCCTGGTGTCTTCTCCCCCCCCCCCCGCTGCCACGCGCACATCTCGAGCTGGGCTCGCCCCTCGGTGGCTGCTGAGTTTGGTGGCGGTGCAGGAACGGTGATGGGTCGCTTGAACGCCTTCTCCAAACGCATTCGCAGGGCGGAAGCAGCGGCAGTGGCTGTCTGGCTCTCAGGCGAGGCTTGACTGAGTGACTGGCTGGCGAGATTCCCTGGCAGCCTGAGATCTGCGTCTGGCTGGACGATGCATTCACGTGTGCGCCAGCCCAGCGTGTAATGCTGCAGTGGGCACGCTCAGCAGCGCCCAAAGGAGCATCTGCAAAAAAAAAAGGGACGGGTGAGAAGACCAGCCAACTGCTGCTGGAGCGCGTATAAAACCAGGCAGCGCCTTGGATCTGACTTCCTCCTTTCTCCAGCAGGCGATTTCGACTCCCTCTCAAATTGTACCAAAGCTCATTCCACGGCTGCTTCCTTTGCCACTTGCTCTCCAGTGCAAAGCCCACTCTGCCTTTCACGTGTAGCTTATCTTTGCCTGGCAACCACTAGTTCTCTCTCCCTCCTTACACACACACTCCCAACGGCGCAGACTCCCCCTGATCTGAAATTAATTTGTTTGTTTGGTTGCAGCACCGAGCCAGCTAAAGGTTAGGATTTCATTTAGCCTTTTCCCCATCCTGGTGCAAAGGAAGCGATGAAATTTCCAATTGAGACTCCAAGGAAACAGGTGAACTGGGATCCTCAAGGTTGGTGCTGCTTTCTCACTCGTTTCTTGTTTGTGTTTTAAATTATCTTCGTTGCCCATCTTTCTAACTGGGATTGTTATTCCTCCTACCTAATGAATGGGAGAAAGGAGACGGCTTTGGCTGTGATTTGGACCGGAGGCTTTGTTATTGACCCTCCTCTCCCTGCTGACTCCCGTCTTGGAAGATGGTCAACATTGCTGTGATCTTTCTGGAGTGCAGAGTGGGAGGGAGAGAAACTTGTCCAACTGAAAAACAAAACAAAACCCAAGAACCAGAAAAACAAACGTGATGTTGCCTCTTGCTCCCCCACTCTCCAATTATCACCCCCTCCCCCCGTACACTATTTTAGTCTTCTGGATGAAAACTTGTCTTGGTTTGATAAGGTCCTGGAGATCCTTATATTTTGTTTGCGAGATTCCTTTGTTGCTTCTGGGGATCATTGTCTCCCGTAAAAGGGGCGGTGGAAGCTGAGAGTGAGCATCTGCTGTCCACTTTGGTGCCCTCAATGTCAAATGTCTCTTAGCAGCTTGGTGGGTGGGATAAAAAGTGAATGCGGTAAGACTCCTATTGGGATTGCAGTCATAAAGGCATGGTAAATAACAAAGCTTGACAAGACCTTCAGCTGTTGGGTCGTCACCCTGTTAACAACTGTGTTAGCACTCCTGCCTTGGTGGGTGGGTGGATTAACTCTGTGTTTAAGCGGAGGTTGTGTTGTGAAAAGACTGTTTGGGTGGGTGATGGTATAGCACACAAGGCTCGTGTACGTGTCACTGCTGTGGCTTTCTGTACAACAGTCGGAGTTGTTTAGAGCACAGGGATACACAAAAAAGCTTGTTTCCAGCAATCTGTGGCATGTATTGATTGTGGAATAAATGCCCAGTAGCATCCTTTTGGTTTATTCTTCTTCTTGGGAGTGTGGTACATATTTATCTGGGTGTAAGGATTCGTTTAGGTTTTGGAACCAGCTGAAAATGCATGTCCATAAACTTGAATAGAAATATTCTAACAGTTCAGTGTTGGTGATGCATGTCAGATTTATATGTTTTCCAAAGGACTTGGTTCAGCTCCTTCCTTTCCCTGCTCACCTCATTCTTTGTGCTCTAAAATGTGCATGTACTGGGGAGAAATATCCAATTGAGTGCTGACTTCATGCATGGCTATGTCTTTAATAGCATGACAACTGAATTATGGAAATATCCCAGACACTTGGATTTCACCAAGGATACGTGCAGAAGAAGTGTGCTTGCCTCTACCTTTCAGAGAATGATTTATTGCCATCATGAAAACGATGACGATTCTGAAATCTTTATTGTGTGACAGCTGGAAGAATGGCTGTCATGCAATTCATTTTTTTTAATTAAAAAGTTTGATGTTTCTCCAGTCTAAAAATAAATAAATTGGGCATTGCATGATTACTGTGGTGAGAATGGGCAGTGGTGCTTATGCATGTGGCCAGAGCCAGATATTTAATCAGCTGTGAAGGACGTGATTCTTCGTTCCCAACAGGTGGCTGGCTCCAGTTCACCAACTGGCCTGAGATGTTCAAATCTTCAAGTGACAGCCAGCCAGTTAGTTCAAATGCTGGGATTTGTTTCTCCTGGGTGATGTGCTACTGTGCTGACATCACGTATTAGTCATAAAGTAATGCCAAGTAGAAGGATAGATTAAACTTCAGCTATGTTGCAGACACTAGGGCTAGAACAACTTTGGCTGTACTTTTAACATCATGGGAGCCACTTTCCCATACATTTGCCCAAGAGTGCTGTTGTGAGATTGAAAGGTCTGCTGCCACCTGAGCCAGTCCAGTGCCTTGGGTCCTTACCACCTGTTTGTCACCCTCAATCTCACCCATGGTGACCACAATGCGCCTGAAGTGAGTTTGTAGGGCATTAGAGGAGTGGTTCTGTGACCTGGAACCGTGCATGGTGTGAAAGGAGATGATGGCGCCATTTTGCTGATGCTAAGTGGGTCTGAGTATGGTCAGTAGCTGGATGGGAGACTGCCTGGGAGACATGTTTGCCACCTCAGATTCCACAATGGGAGAAAAGGTAGGCTATAAATATTAAGGTTGTTATTTTCATTATTAGCAAATATTAGTAGCAAATGAATAATAATAGTAACAACAACAACAACAACAACATATGGTCATATAGTAATAATATGGTATTGTATTCATATATCTCAGTACTCTTGAGAGTCAGCATGGTATAGAGCTTAGAGTGCTGAATTAAGACTGGGGAGACACAGATTCAAATTCCCACTTGAATATGAATGGGTGATTGGGGGCCAGTCACCTTCCTCACAGTGTTGTTGTTAGGATAAAATGGGGGGGGCACCATTTAGATTTCTTTAAGCTCAATGAAGGAAAGGCAAAATATAATTGTAATTAGTAAATAAAAATAATAACTACATTATCTTGAATTATACCCTCTGTTTTCTCCACTAGGGATCCCTCTAGTTGGAAACATGGGCCAATTCAGACTGAAAGTTCCAAGCTGCCTCTGGTAACCTATCCTTTTCTGAGAAATCAGCAGGGAGCACCCCTTCTCCCCAGATTGTGAGCATAGCAGGATCTGGGAATATGAGATCTCTTGAGAACATGGTCCTGTCTAGATGTCATTATTGGACGATTTGCTGTCAGAAGGTTCTGGTGGCTTGATTTCAATGTGCAGTTTTCCTCTCATAGCAAACACATTCTTTGCAAATGCTCCTAGCTTGCATTAAAACAGCTTGCAGATGACCTATCTCTCCATTACACATTTGCCTTGGGTGCATCAAATATAATTCAATGTACAAAGTGTTGGATCCAGAGTTCCCATGAGAAGAACTCTGCTCATGAGATGCTCTCAAAGGAGGAAGGGTGTGGGTGAGGAGGCAGTTTTTGGCAGTTCCTTCTTCCATTTGTAGCCATCTCTGCCCACTAAAAAACTGCTGGAATGAGGCAGCGAGTGACCTTCTGGAACAGAGTGTGACAGGCAAAGGTGAATTGGAGAAAATTGCTGCTGTCCACTTCAGTGCTGGCCTCTCTTGAGGCAAGGTGAGGTGACCTCAGGTGGCAGATTCCACCGGGGCAGCAGATCTCAATGTTGATCTCTCCTCGTTTCTGATGAAGAGCTTCTCTGATCCCTTCTTTGGTGCGGACAGGAGCACCATTTTGGGGTCAGCCTCAGGTGCCAAAATGTCTTGAGCCAGCCCTGCTCTCCTTCCTCCTGAAGTGAAAGGCTGCTAGATATCAGTCCCTTCTGTGAACAGAAGGAAAATCCTGGATTTCACTCAAAGAATTAATAAAATAAACAAATGAAACCAATAGGAAACTTTCAACACACAAGTCCATTGGTTTATCCTTTTTTTTAAGGTGGGGGGAACGCCTGAATTACTGAATGACTTATTCACAATGTATTTTAATGCCTTATATTGAGGTGGGGTCATATAATATAGTTTCCTTAATACCATTGAAAGGAACTGGTATTCTGGATCTGTGGTTGGCAGTATCATCCACCTATCAGTCTGTTGTTTTTTAAAAATGTGAACTGCTTTGAGAACCATTATTATTATAATTTATTGAATTTATATACTGCCCGATACCATGAAATCTCAGGATGGTTCACAGAACATTATGGCTGAAAAGCGGTATAGAAATATGGTAAATAAATACATTATATGGCAAAATGTAGGGGATGGTTTCACTTGGTACCGTAACCTTGCACAATTACTAACATACACACTTAGAATTTCAAACTTCATGGATCACTTATATGTGAGAGATTGGATAAGTATTTGGAAGAATAGAATACTGTAACCCTGACCCTGACTCCAATCTAAGAGGTCTGGCAGATTGCTTATTTGTTTGTTTATGTGCATTTTAGTGTTCATGGCTATAAATTGTGGGGTAATAATCATTATCTGAAGAATGGGGGGTGGGCAATGATAAACATAATTGCCAACTGTTAAGTGATTTCACGTCTGACATGGATTGCATGCATTGCAAGGTAACTACAGTGCTAAAAACAACTTCAAAAGTCTGCCAGTTCTCTGGATTTCTACCTACATTACTTTTCTGAGTGTATGTGTTGTAAAATGTCTCTAAGATGTGTGCCTTGTGATTGGCAAGTGACTAAATGTGTGCCTGACTCCTGGGGTGAGTTCCGATCACCCTAGCTTTTAATGTGATGAATGATGTTTGCTTGAAGTTTTGAATCCACAAATATATCCAATATTTCAAACTCTTACACTCGGTAGCTGTCATTGAGACAATAGCTCCCATTTGTTCGAATTATCACTTTGCAAAGTAGATATTGACGGATTGAATCTCAAACGCAAACTCAACCATTCTCATGGAAGGACCTAGGGCTGATCCAAAGACAGCTTTGTTTCCCGCTTTCTTCGCACAAGTGTGAACAATGTCCTATGTAGGTTTGGAACTTGCGGAACTTAGAAATGGCAAGTTCTGTTGAGCTCCCTGTTGAACACACATGCTCTGAGTGATAAGTGACATGGCCCCGAGAGCACCATGTATAAGACAAGCATTGATAGTAATTGCAGATCTTCTCAATTCACTTGAATGGAATCAGCGGGAGCGTAAGGCGATGAAGTAATGAGGATAGATTGGCAGAGATGCTGGAGAATCATTAGCAAACTTTGCGGGACTAATTTTACTGTGCTTATCCGCGGCTCAGTGTTTTGAACTTCTGTAGTGTTATAGTTGTGTAGCCTGAGAGAGAGCGCAAGCTCTCCACAGTTGCCACGGTAACACTAGTCATTTGGGCCTGTCTTTGTTGGGGAGAATGTGCGCAAGCTCTTCAGCCTTAAAAGAGAACTTTGTGAGATCTGAACACCTCTAGAGTTTCTCACCAACTGAGCTTGGATCTTTATGATGTATTGCCTTTTGCTTTTGACAGGCTTTTTGAGATACAAGATATAGACAGCCTTAAATGGAACCTGACACATCTCCACAGAGGACTATAGCTTATGAGAAACTACACACCCACCCACTGACCCTTAAATTTCTTTAGCAGGGGCAGAAATTCTCAGATTCTCAAAAAAAGCACCAACCCCCCAAAACCACAAAACCACCCAGTGAAACTACTGTGTGAAGAGTTTGAGGAGAATTTGTGGCCTAAGAAAGAAGAGAGCGCAGTGAGGCAGCAGAGACACCATAAATAACCAAGCATACAAAAACAAAACAGGATTCCAATGAATTGTGGAGACCTGCCATATTCACCCAAAACACTTTCCCCATTATGTGTAATTGTGTGTAGGAAATCTGACCCTGCCTGCCACCAGCATGTGGCCCCTGGAACGTTGCCCAGAAGGAAATGTGGCCCTTAACCTGGACAAGATTTATCACTTCTGAACCACATCAGTGCCAAGTGCTGTATGTAGAAGATGGAACAACTCCCCCCCGCCCCCCCCAACTTGCCTACCTAGGTTTGTAATTTTAGGAGGCATGTAATTTTAGCATACAATTTTAACTTGATTTCAGTAAGTATAATAACTTTTAAATGACTGGTTTTGTTCTCTATTTTAACAATCTTAATGTAATTTGTTTTTAATATTCACTTTTATTGGTGCTTTTAAGGAATATCTTAGATTGTCTTTTGTAAACTGTTTAGAGGTCTTTCATTTGAGAAAGCGGTATATTCTGGCAGGCGTTAAAAACTGATTTTATAGTTTTAACTCTTTTTCAGTCTTATCGTATTAAATCTCCTGTACACTGCTTAGAGCTGACTGTGATTAAGTGGAATGAAAATTGTTGACCTAAGATAAATAAATAATATATACATTTTGTTAAATACAAAATATAAAATATTTGTTAAATACAAAATATATACATAAATAAATAAGCCTTGGCGAGGGTTTACAATCAAGCATAGTTTGTTTGCTTTTATTAAAAAAATGTAAATGTCAGTTAAAACAAAGAAAAAATAGCCAGAGCTTGATTATAAGAAGTATGGGTGAGAAAGAGAAAGAGAAAGAGACTCACGAGTGATATTGAGGCTAGTTGACAGGGAAGGACTCTTGGGAACTGTTGGTGGTTAAACTGTGTTAATCCTGGCCTGCAGTTTAAATGATAAATATCACACTTTATACTGTTGCCACATATGGATGAGAGAGGTCCATTCATTGATTTATGGATACTCCCTGAATAGTCTCTCATTTCCATGCATTGCCAATTTTGTGTCTCTTCTATAGAAGCAGGGGAGAGTGAGAAATCACATGCCATTGGACACGCCTTGATTTGCTATGAATTAGCAGATACTCTCATATACAGTGGTGCCCCGCAAGACGAATGCCTCGCAAGACGGAAAACCCGCTAGACGAAAGGGTTTTCCGTTTTGGAGGTGCTTCGCAAAACGAATTTCCTATGTGCTTGCTTCGCAAGACGAAAATGTCTTGCGAGTTCCTGCAGGGTTTTTTTCCTTTCCCCCCCTTTTTCCCAAGCCGCTAAACCGCTTATCAGCTGATGGCTAAGCCGCTTATCAGCTGATCTTTAAGCCGCTTATCAGCTGATCTTTAAGCCGCTTATCAGCTGATCTTTAAGCCGCTTAACAGCTGATGCTAAGCCGCTTATCAGCTGATCGTTAAGCCGCTTATCAGCTGATCTTTAAGCCGGCTAAGCCGCTAATACTGTAGCGCTAAGCCGCTAAACCTCTAATGGGCTTGCTTCGCAAGACGAAAAAACCCGCAAGACGAAGAGACTCGCGGAACGGATTCTTTTCGTCTTGCGAGGCACCACTGTATATCTATTTCCCTGTAGAGATGTACAGAATGTTCTAAGGCGACACTGCTGCATGATGCTCGCTGTCATAATTTAGCATAATATTGTTGTTGATTTATTTTTACAGCAGCTACATATAACTAAACATTGACGAAGCCTTTATTCAAACCACATTGGTCTCATTGTGATCAATAGCCAGTCAGCTGGTAGTTCCTCAGTATTGCAACCACCAATTCAGGCTGTCACAATTGAGCCATTAAATTGGCAGTTTGTTACAGGCAATGTTGGGATCCACACATTCACCTGCAAGCCTGAAAAGATGCTCAGGTCACTGGCATTATCAGAGGGACTAATGAAAAACGCATGGTTAGCTGCTTCCACTTTAACTTCCTCCAAGATTCATGGTGACTTCTCTATAGTTTGGGGAGCTCATAATACAACAGCTTCCTTACCATGCAGTCAGAGATGCCCACCCTTCAGCAAATCAGTCCTTGAGAAATAGTGTCATCTACAAATTGGATGAGCACCCCCCCTTAATCCCTTCATCCAAGTCTTTTATGAAGATGTTGAGCAATAATGGGCCCAGGACAGAACCCTGTGGCACCCCACATACCACTTTTTTCTAGGATAATGCTTCACAGGAAGTCATTCATTAATGAAATAAATAATAAAAGAATAACGATAGTAGCAGAAAGCTGGGACTTTGGTGGAGCCCTTTGACAAAGTCCATGTATTCCTCACTGTCCATTAGTGGAACAGCAACAGAGTGATTGAAATCTATATTAGTGGAAAAGGATCGGGAACTGATTCCATGATTTTCTGTACTTCACAGTCACGGGGCTAGATGTGACCCCTCACCTTCTTTTTCTACATTTCCTGCTGAAAGCATGGAGCTGTCCCTAAAAAAATGGGTTGGGTAAATCTGATAAAGATGCTTTGTTGTGGTGAAGCAACAATTAGCACTACTATAGCAACACAACCCCACAGGACCTGCTTGCTGTTTCACGCAACAGGTATAAAACAATGAGATTTGCTGCAGCCGCAGAATTCATATCCCCGAAGAACTGACTCAGCCCTTCTCTTTCCTAGGAAGATAAATAGGAAGCTATGCAGTTTGCTATAAGGAGATCTCTGGAACAAGACCTTAAAAAAAGTGGGTATGCTTTATTTTCCTGTGTGCTCCTTGAGTAATGTGAGGAAGGAAATTTAATTATATTCCCCATTGGGAGGGGGTTTAAATCTGTGCTTTAAAGAGAGCATACAAGACGGATTCAGTTGCACCATAAATGCGCAGAACATGAAAACGTTTTTTTAAAGAAAGCTTCAGAGGTCATGTAATTGATGTTTGGGTCAGCAGGAAGCTGCAGGTGTTACACATTGGAGTTATTTGGACAAGCTTTCGCCATCCTTTTCACGGTGGATGTAAGAATGGCTGCCATCCACTGTCTTTATTTCGAAGGCACCTTCTGAAATGCCCTTGGGGGTGAAAAAACAAATTAACCTTGTGAATGATTTTATTCTGATTGCAGTGACTGGAAACGCCCCCCCCCCCAAAAAAAAATATGGGGAGTGGGAAGCAGCATAAACAAGAAGCTGCCCATGAAATCCAAGCCACATATAAACTGCTCTGTGTGGGTTGATGTGTACTCATGATATGGCAGATTCATTGTGTTGCTGCAAAACATGTTCTCTGTAGGTGCGATCAGTATGTGCCTCCTTTGTTTAGAAGTCAAGATGCTTGTTGTGTCTGATGTGATTCTGAACGGGCAAAAACCAAGAGGGCAGGACTGAGATGGGGGGGAGGGGCGGGGGAGGGCAGGGTGTGGTGATAGGTTCACACAAAAAGGTAGAATGAGAAATCTTAACCATTACCCCACTGTATCCAGTTTATGATAAATATAATTGGCATTAGGCTAGTTTTATGGATCCAATATGTTTGAAGGGAGAACCATTTGCCTAAGTGGAAAGGCACAAAAGAGGAGTCTTGAGAAATGTTGGACTCTACTTGTTTGTAACTTGATAACTTCCTTGACCATTGGGCTATTGCAATGAAAGTTCAGGATGCAATCCTTCGTTTCAAGCTAGAACACCGGCTAGAACACCTGTTTTCAGAGGGTTGGAAATATGCAACACAACATAATGTACTATGCCTCTTGAGCGCTGAGATATTTTAGTATGTTTATGACACGATTCTCAGTTTTAAAGTTCAAATTTACAGAAAGCACTAGCTGCTTCAGGTGACTTGTAAATACATCTTTTTGCCCAGACTTTCCCTGGCCCATAAAACTGAACCCTGTTATTACTTACTTTCAGCTATTGTCTGTTTTTATAATTCTTAACTGTGTTTCAAGTTGTATCTCAGTTTTTATGATACAACTTTAATGTTTTTTTAGATTGTCTTTTTGTATATCGCTTGGTGATTTAAAAAAAATATTAAGAAGTTTAGAAATGCTTTTAAACAAACAAACATCTCGGGATGCAAAGTACACTGAAGTGTGTTATTTAAACAAAGCTGCTTGAATATTGTGCTTACCTAAAACAGTAGAGGAACACATGGAATTGGACTCAAGAAACTTGTTTTGATTATTCCCTGTAATGGATGTGCAGAAGTCCTGGTAAGACATTCATTCTGTATGTTTCTGCAGCCATTACTAAAGCCTCTTCTTTTTTTGCTGATCCTTTTTTTGGGGTCACTTATCTATGACCAAACATTTCAAAATATAGTTACTATGTAGAGTATGATGTGTGGAGCACTTGCACGAGGAAGAAACAAAGGAGAATTTTAAGCCCACAATCCAATAAGTTTCATCAAGTTTCAGAAGACTCGAAGCATTCATAAGGCTGTGTGTGTAATCATGGTTTAGAGAACAGGAATGTGACCTTTTTTTGAGACTAGTTTAGGCCACAAACACCTGGCCAGGGGTGCGGGGTATAAATAAAATTATTATTATTATTATTATTATTATTATTATTATTATTATTATTATTAAATAGTTGTGTGACTTTATCCTGTTAAGTGCACATACATATGCTTGAATAATATAACTTTTTAAAAAACAACAACAACCCATAGCCTCATTTGCTGTGTTTGTACTATAAGTTCAGTCATTTAAACTGGCATTACTTCATTCAGACAGTCATGGACCAGTTGGTGTTTTCACTTATTTCCAACCAGTGTCAGATGTTGCC